TGCCGATTTACTTCAAATGGTCGAACATTGTTGGGACAGCATCGAAATTCACGGAAGTTAGCAGAACGATTCTGAGTTGTCATACTGTTGTATTCTTCCAAAACTGTGCTCCCAAATTTCCATTCATCCTGCTTACTTCTAATGCGAAAATACAGAAAAGGGAGTGTTTCCAAGATTATCCTCCAGTGAAAATCCTGCAAAATGTTGGGATCAAAGATGATGGAACCATAAGTATAAGATTAATCAGTAACATCCAGAAGTCGTTTGTGTTTCATCCCTTAGCTGTAAGAAACCGTTTCTCACCCAGCCCCATCCCTGATGTGCAATGCTATTTATTTCACTACATGTTTACTAAATTTTCAGAATACATTGCATGAAACAAATAACAATCATTGCGGAGTCGCAACAACAAACAATAATGTGGCGGACAAATCAGTTTCTTCAGCACGCCTGAAAGGTGATTTAATCACTTCTGAAAATGAATATTTTTAAGTTTGTTAGTTCGATGAAAATGCAATATGGATGAGTTTTTTTTTTTTTTTTGTTCAAGCTTCGCAGTGAGAAATAAAATTTCAGAAAAACAGCGATACAATCCTCCAGCCAACGGGAACTGCCCAAAAAGTACAAACATAATTCCACCGTGGCGAAAACAAAGCATGGATTCGGTAGCATCCACGGATTCCGGGGTTTCCATGCAGCGTAAAAAATATGAAGAAATCACGAGTAGCCTCGAGAAGCAACTGAATTTGAACCGGAAACAGGTTGGCATTTGTGCACTATGCGAGAAAGCGATAGTGGAAGAAGCAGATGTTACGTACGCATTGGGACAAGTGTACCATCAAAAATGCTTTGTATGTGATATTTGCGGAAGAACACTGCGCGGCAAAAAATTCTATAAGGTTAGAGTTTATAATTTTGAGGCCAAGACTTCTGCTTACGGACATTTTCATGAGGGAAGAAACATGACGATGAAACAACAGCTTTATCTAGTTCATACTTTGATCAGCTGCAGTTTACTTCGGTGTTCTCCAACTGACAACTTTTCCAATTGCTTTGATCAGTGCCGCATTGTGCAGTGGTCAGCCTGCTGACGATCCTAACTTTCAATTCGTTTATGAAAGAGCTATTAGCTCAGTGATTATCCTAAGAGAAGCATTAGACAAGGCTCTAGCCATTTCGAGGTGTCTTAGGTACCACTTGAGCTCGGTATCCTGTTTTGAATGTAGTCACTCCTAAATTATAATAAGATGACTAGTAAAAAAATTTTTTTTTA